TTGTATCAAAATCTCTGCAGTTACTCTCCCTGGGCCCCCACCTATCAGGGATTTTTTCCCCTCAAGTGAGTATCATATTGTGAGGAGGGTTGAGAAGCGCTTATACTAAACCTTGTTTCTAAGATATCTTTTATCTAAAATATTCTGTTATTCAATGAGAACATTCAGGCAATTAAATCAGAAAAATATAGGGGGACAAAAACACTTTGCATGGAAAATTTAACACTTTGGATAAATTATTTATCTCTGCAGTTCTTCTTCTCCTCAGTTTTAAAACTGGGAGGTGAATGTTATTTATTCAAAAATGTAAAGATTCGATCCTGAATTGTTGATATCCTTAAGAAATTTTTAGAAGATAGTGCAGAAGTATATTTTTACGTCTTAATCCTCACCTAAGGATATATTTTATTGATGAGAGAGAGACAGACAGACAGAAGCATTAATGTGAGAGAGAAACATCACTTGGTTGCCTCCTGTAAGTGTCCCGACCGGGGATCAGTCCTGCAAACTAGATATGCACCCTGGCTGGGAATCAAACCCACAACCTTTTGGTGTACAGGATGATGCTCCAACCAGTTGAGCCACCCAGTCAGGGCAGCAATATATTACTAAGAAAATGTTTTTATGTATACAGTTGACAAGAGTTTGTTCATATATTAAATTTTGAACTCTAACAGTGTTGAACAAATTGTCAGCAGGAGCTTTGGAAGGAGAACAGATAACATAGAATAGCACAGGGTTGACATCAGTAGTTTGCCCAACCCAATGACACAAACTCCTGTTTCTCCAGAGTAGATTAAATACGGAATTTTCAACTTGTTTGATCATAGGACTTAATTGTAAATATTCATCTAATTGGGGAATTACTTTGTGTGTGTGGAAAATTTTTGTCTTTGAACTTTTAAATCAAGTTTTATGTTTTTTTAATTTAGAAATTTATTTTTACTGGCTATTAGGCAGGTATTTTTCTATCTGTAAATCAGGGGAGCTTTAAAGACCAGAGACAAGAGTTTTGTTGTTGCTAAAACATTTTTTTAGTATGTTTGGATCTCCTGTTTGCATTTGGCTGATTGTATATTAAGCTTCTGTAGTTTGATATTGATATTCTTTGAATTCCTTTATTATTTAGCATTGTTAATATAACAGTGATTATGAATCACTTTATTTACTAATATTTTCATGTAAATTAGTCATAAGCAAAAAAGTACAGTGGAAAGAGATTTGCCTTGGGACTTCATTTGACTGAAATCAAATGTTAGCACCAATTTTGGGACTGTCTTAGCCTGTTAATAGCCTAACATCTTTTTAAATATAAGGTCATTATTGATGCCACCTTGATTCCATTCAGGGGGGAAAAAACATGAGTGAATCAATAGATAAACAAATAAAGCGGGATGCCTATTTTTTTCTTTCCATATTATATATTATGTCTCTAAGCATAGTGTCTGGCAGTGAAGTGGTTTGTATTTGGTGAACAGAAGCCATATCCCAGGGTGATCTTACTGGTATTGTGCTGCACTTTGACCTGGTGTTGGATAAATGTTTGATTGGTTTCATTTTGGAATGAAGTTATGTTACTGGGATAGGTAAGATGTTACATTGATATTATTTTGTCAGTTATAGGCAAATTAATATTTTATCACAGTTTGTTAACACTGATTGCTTTACTTTAATGACTAAATTATGATCCAGTAAAACATTTTGTTCTAATGCTATTTTTAAAAAGATCTCAAATAGAGACTATTATTGGACAGAGTGTTTCTTTATGTTTGATGTTGGATTTCAATTTCAAAAGAAAGAGCAGTTAAGAAGATATTAAGTGATAGTTTGCAAATTGGTAGTAGAATTTCTGAATAGACTAACACTTATTCATTTCCTTTTGCTACATTTTATAAAGATTTTTTTAGCTTATAATTTTCTTAAATTGAAGAGATGTGTGGGAGTTTAAGGTGAGCATAATGCCAAGGAATAATAGGTTGGGAAACATTATTCAATGTGAAGAATAGATACTGTTGCACGGAAATACGTACTTTAAAATGTACTGCGTAAGAAGAGCCTAGTTAAAGAACAAGTATGAATGACCCATGGACATGGACAACAGGGTGGGATGGACTGTGGGAGTGGTGGGTGGGCAGGGCAGGGAGAGCAACAGAGGAAAATTGGGACAACTCTAATAGAACAACAATTTAAAAAAGCTTCATTGGAACCGAAAAATAAAAAATAAAATAAAGGATCTTCAAAATTATGAACACTAATGTCAGAGTTTGTATATCTTGCCATTATAAGGCATTATGGTACTTACAGCTTAGAATTAATTTGCTGGGAATGTATTTTATTTTAAATTAATAAGTAATTTGAAAAGAAAATTCTTAGTTGTGAAAAAATTGAAGAAGTCATATCTTAATATTCCTTAGCAAAATAAGTCATTTTACTTGTATACTCACTTACCTAACATGTATTTTTGATGTTAACCTTCCTGGGCTTTTAGTTTGCATGGCCTGTCTTTTTCTGTCCATTCACTTTCACCCTGTTTATTTCTTCATGTTTAAAGTATGTCACTCATTGTAATATATTGTTAGGCTTTTAAAAATGCATTGTCAACCTCTGTCTTTTAGTAATAGTTCTTAATTCATTCATATTTAATGTAATTATTGATAAGGTTGGATTTAGGTCTATTATTTTACTGTGTCTATTGTTTTGCCTATTTTTTGTTTCTCTAGTCTTTCTTTTTAGGTTAATTCAGTATTTTTAAAATATCTTTTAATTCCCCTGTTGGCTTTTTAGCTAAAAACATTTGTATATTTTTAATGGTTGTTCTAGGAATTATAGTATACAGCCTTCTCAGTCTACTTCAAGTTAAAATTTTACAACTCTTTAATATAATGTAAAGAAATGTAAGAATGTTGTTATACCATCAACCCTCTACCATCCTCTGTTATAATGGCCATATATACTGTATTTATATATATTATAAACCCCATAACAATGTTATAATTTTTACTTTGGACTATAATGTTAAAGAAATGCAGAGGAAAAACTAGTCTTTGGTATTTATCTACATGTTTACTGTTTCTGATGCTTTTCACTGTTAAGGTCCAAGTTTTTGATAACACTACACTTTAGCCCAAAGAAATTCTGTTTGCATTTCTTGTACTATGTATGTGTCTGCTGGTGACAATTTTGCCCTCACTATTAAAGAGTATTTTTGTTGGATATGGCATTCTGGATGCACAGTTATAAGAAACTGTATTCAGTAAGGTTCCCTCTCAAGAGTATTGTTTTACTTTAACAGGCAGTTAACTTTGCAGAACTCACTTTTGCAAACTCCATCTTTCCTTGGTGAACACCAGCTGACATCTCAGTTCTGTTCTTTTTGGGCTGTTGGGAGTCTGCCCTGCATGTACCTAATTTAGGGGTTAGCCAGAAGCTTGGGCTGAGTTTATTTACAGAATTTAGAGGTTCCTTCTTTGTGAATCTCTCCTTTCTGGAAACTAAATACAGAATCAAGAAATCGATTCATGTATAAATGGACAGTTGACTTGCAACAAAGGTGCAAAGGCAATTTAGTGAAGAAAAGGTTTTAACCTTTTCAACAAATGGTGCTGAGACAATCACATATCTTTATGTCAAACAAACAAACAAACAAACAAACCCAAAAGCATAACCTTTGATTCAGATCTCACAGCATATATAAAAATTAACCCAAAGTGGATTATAGACTTAAATGTAAAACAAAACTATAAAATATCTAAAACATAAGAGATAATCTTTGTGACCTTGGGTTAATCAAAGTTTTCTTAGCTATAACACTAAAAACATGATCCATAAAAGAAAAAAATTAATAAATTGGACTTAATTAAATTGAAAACTTGTCTGTTCTTTACAAAACACTAGTAAGAGAATAGAATGGTAAGCCCCTGACTTGGAGAAAATATTTGCAAACTACATATCTGATAAAGGATTTTTGTCCAGAATATGTAAAGAACTCTTATAATGATAAAAAAAGAAACCACCTAATTTTAAAAATGAAAATACTTGATCAGATACTTAACCAAAGATATACAGATAGCAGCACATAAGCACATTAAAAGATGCTCAGCATCATCATGGAAATGCAAATTAAAGCCATAATGAAATACCACTGCACTCCCATTAAAATAAATAAGATAAGGAAGATTGACCGTAATCAAGTGTTAGTTAGAAAGTAGAACAAGTGGAACTCTCATTCACTGCTGGTAAAGTGCAAAATGGCACAACCACTTAGGAAAACAGTAAGTTAGTTTCATTAAAATTTGAACATAAAGCTGCCATATGATCCAGCCATTTCATTTCTAGGTATTTAACCAAGAGAAGTGAAAGCATATCCATTTATGTATCCATCTAAATAATTGTACAAGAATACATATAGTATCTTTATTTCTAATAGACAAAGACTGTAAACAACTCAAATGTCCACCAGTAGATGATTACATAAAACAAACTGTGAGATGAAATGCTACTAAGCAGGCAACAGTTCTATTAAATGTTTTGCCACTGTGTAATATGGACCACCATCCTTCTAGCTTTCAATAATGGTTTTCTCGCTGCCCACTTACTCAGCCCCAGAAGTGTTTCTTTGGCACTTCTGATACCAATTTTTCTGTCAGTCAGGTTGGTTTGTAGCAATTAAGGTAGACTTTCAAGCAAGACTGTTTTTTTATTTTAATCAGTATTAGTTTTGTCCATTTTAAGGTACATTAAAATCTTTAAGTAATGACACCAATAGCTATAACTTTTCTTGATACTATACAAAAATTGTACAAAATACTTTCAGCTTTTATTTATACAGTTTTTAGATGGGAAATATTCCTGTGTGTTGTACAAGGAATCTGAGGTCCAGAAAGGCCAGTTGTCACGACAATGAACATGAACTAGAACCAAGTGATCCCGTTTTAATACTTTTGTACAAATTGAGAAAAATAAATGTACCACATACTTAAACACATTCTTTATTTTGACAGACTCTTCAACAGACCACGTTTAAGAGTTGTCTCGTACTCCCTCTTGTCAGTGGCTGGAGCACAATGGATCACACAGGGACACTAGACACCGAGGATGAATTGGGACCTTTAGCCCATCTCGCTCCAAGTCCTCAAAGTGAAGCTGTTGCTCACGAATTCCAGGAACTTTCTTTGCAGTCCAGTCAGTACTTGCCCCCTCTGAATGAAAGGAAGAATGGTAAGTTCTTCAGCACGTGCAGTGGGGATTTTGATTTAAAGACTGACCTCTTTGTGAGCCTAATTGAGTTCTCTTTAGTAGTTTTTTTGTTTGTTTGTTTGTTTGTTTTGCCAGTTGCATTTGACAGTCTATCACAGAGGAGAGAACCTCATAGGGGTTAGTTTTGAGTAACAAGCAGAATTTTACTTTCCATCCCATTCTTCCATTATTTCCCCAGCATCTTTGGTAGCAACGTTATCTTTGAAAATAAGTTTTAGATTCAGTCATTTGAATACCAGCAGAAGATGTCATGCTAGAATGGTGTTGGGAAGTCACATCCTGTGCTGATTCTCGGGAACACAGATTGTGGATTTAAATAGATTATCCTCCCAATTTCCCCACCTCCAGTGTGTTACAGCTTAACTTCAGAATTGGTAAAATTTGCACTAATTTAATGATCACTAAGAAAGCAAGAGTGTTTTATTTATTTTTATATTAATAGGTATTAGAAATGGTCATATTTTCCACCTTTGGCTGACTCATCCTTGTATACAAAATGAATAATTTCTATTTATTTGCTGTCTGTTCAGGAAATGTTCCTTGATCACAGAGGCATCCAGAGTTTCCAAAAAACACGTACTGCCAATTTTTAATATAAGTGAATATAGAGAGATGATATACACTTATTCTTAATACTTAAAATATAAAAACTAATAAATATAAAATATTAAAATTTACAAACACTTTAAGTATACATATGAAAAGTACAGAATTAAGAATTTCAACCAGATTTACTGTGCTTTCCTCAGATCTGATGAGGCTTATATTCAGAAATTTATATTCTTTTAAATTCCAGAAGAAATAAAAATATTTCCCTGTAGAACACTTCCATATGTACTATCTTATTACTTATTTTTCTGGGTTCTGTGTCCCAATTCTTTTCAATATTGGCCTTTCTTATTCAGGAAAATGGATAAAAGGTGTATGTTACTATTCTTAGTTCTCTAGTACACATCTTTGGAGTGTAACTGTTCTCCCTTCAGATAAGATATCTGATACTTGTGTCTTATATTAGCTGTTGGGCACAATGCTTGTGCAGTTCAATTGGTATACAGCAGCATTTTGGCTAAGATGCTGTCAAAGCCTTCATGAGCTGTGGTTGACAGGTTGATGACCTTAGAACCTTCTATCAATTACAGGCCAAGCTTTATGTTAGTGGCTGAGAGAGAAGAACCACACTTCATGAAACATGATTAAAATGTGATCAAATTTACACAGTACACTTGGATCAGTATGATAATGTTCAAATTTGTATCTGCCAAAAGAAAGTTGAGCAGATATAAAATTGCCCTATATATAATTGCTCAAGAAAATGATCATATGAAGGGCAACCCCCCCCAAAACTGGAATTATCTTCTGGAGGGCAGGCCCCTTATAGTACAGGCTTCCCTTGCTAGGTGAGTGTTCTAGGAACCCATCAGTAACAATGTGCCAGCTGATGTTGTTGTGAGAGGCTGTGTTTGGCTTCAGAGAATTTTTGTTTTGAAGACTTTCAATGTGTTTGCCCATTTCTTGATGAGTAATTTACTAGTGTACCTGCCCACATCACGCTGAGTGTTCAGCAGCTTTTGACCCAAAATGGCATAACCTCTGTGGCCCCCACCATTCACTTCTTCTCACCTCGAGCAACTTTTGTTTGTTTACCTAATGAAAAAAGTCCTCAGAAACGTGTTGCTGATGTGGAAGAGGGGAAATAAAAAATGACAGAAGCACTAAAAGGCATCAAAATTCACAAGTTCAAAACTGTTTTGAGCAGTGGAAAAAACGTCTTGATAGGTGTATTGCATCAAATGGAGAGTACTGTGAAGGTGACTGAAGTTTAAACATGTAAGAATAAGTACAGAGTTTTTTATAAATAAAATCCATTTTTTTGGTGGGGTCCCTCTCTTGTATGTAGTAGAGGAGAGAATTGAATTATGTAAATAAGTTTCTGCTTTATGGATATCTGCTCAATCCAACTTACCACATTCTTTTCTCTTGAATATGTATGCCTGAATATAAGATAAGCTCAAATATAAGGTAATCTCCCCTTATAAACTTTTAAAAATGTAGATTAAATCATAAAGTATTAATTTATTAATTTAGGTATATGTATTTAAGTCACATTTTATGAAGCAGTACAGTAATATAGAAGGATTGCCTTAGCCACTTGCATTTCATAAAATCATCTTGCTCAGACTTTGTCCACCAGTCTTTGTTGTGTTTTTATCATCAGTAGAACCCCTTTGCATTATGTGTCTAGTATGGAAACCCAGGGTGCATCTTCATTCTGTCTCTTTTGTTTGAGTTACAGCAGTATTTGAACACATGTATGATCTAACACTGAAGATTTTACATATAAATTACAAATACCATTCACAAAATAGTGGAACTGGGTTTGTTGTTTTTTTGTATGTGTCTTATAGTTGTATATTCATAATCTCTACAGTTGTATATTCATAATCTATAGTTGTATATTCATAATTCGTAATTACTCATGTTTGACCTCTGATTGATTACAACATTTTATGTAGTTTCTGTTTCTGAATTTAATTCTTTTTTGAGTAGTAACATTGTATATTCACTCAGTTTAAAATTGAAGTGTACAAATGGGTACACAGTGAAAAGTAGGTCCCTTAACTACCCAGTTACTTCCCCAGAATTACCAACTGTTAACTTGTGTCCTTTCTGAGAGAATAGTTTTTGATGACTTTCTAAAAGCAGTTTTGAAAGTCTTTGTAACAACATCCAACACTTTGAATTTTGTTTTAACCTAAGAATAATGAATGTGTTGATTTTTTCCTCCCTCTTTTTTTCTGACTTTATTAAGATGTATCTGTACATGTCCTAAAACCAGCTTTGAGTGAAGTAAATTTAAAAAAATATTTACATTAAATTTATTGGGGTGACATTGGTGAATAAAATTACATAGGTTACAGTGTACAATTCTATAATACATGACCTGTACATTGCGTTGTGTGCTTACCACCAAAAATTAAATGTCCTTCCACCACCATGTATTTGACCCCCTTTTCTCTTTACCTCCTCTTCCTCAGCCCCGTTTCTCTTTGGTAAGCACTATACTGTTGTTTGTATCCATGGGTTTTTGTTCATTTATTTGTCTTCTTTGCTCTCAGTTTTATATGGCACATACGAATGAAATCATATGATTCTTGACTTTTCCCCATCTGGCTTATTTCACTTAGGATATTCTCAGCATTGAACCATGTTATTGCAAATGGCAGTACTTCATCTTTTCTGTGGCTGAGAAGTATCCCATTGTGTACATGTAGCACATCTTTATCTAGTCGTCTATAGAAGGACACCTTGTTGTCCCCGTGTGTTGGCCACTGTAAATAGTGCTGCAGTGAACAGAGGGGTGCATACATCTTTACAAATAAATGTGTTCAGATTCTCTTTTAGTAGACATCCATAAGAGAGGTTGCTGGGCCATTTGGTAACTCTATCTGTAATTTTTTGAGGGTCCTCTGTATTGTTTTCCATAGCTAATGCGTTTTTCTCAAATCCTTTTTTATTATTAACTAACTGAAAGAGCATCTCATAATATGAGATATTGTGTAAAGACTCTGACAAGAGAGAATCTCCTTTTTTCTGACAAGTGACTGAGGAAGTTAAAAACCTTACCTTATATTTAGGCATACACTAATTTTAGGTTTATGGTATATTAGCTTAATTTGCATATACATCACAAAGCATAAATGGAATTCTTGTACAGCTATCAGAAATCTAGGATTTTTGATACATTGATATGAGTATAGTAGAACCACATCAAATAATATGTAAACAGAACCATAACTTTGTTTAATGATTTTTTCAAGCTTATTCTTCATTTTCTAGGTCTTAATGTCATGTTTAAATCATATATACAAAATGTAGGTGTTAGCTCAAAATTAATTAATATAAAGTATGGTTTAGCTATTTTGAGGTAATCAAATTTAGATATTTTCTAACATACTGTGTTTTATTGTTATACCTAAGTTTTTAAACTTCACTTTAGAATTCTCTTCGGGGTAAATGAAAATATTTCAGTTTGGGCTCGGCATGTAGAAGGATTATGTCACCACATAGTTTATATATAAACTTTGCAAGGAACATGAAGTTGACATTGAAGTAATGATTCCAGGATCTCCCCTTATTTTTTTAAAGATTTTATTTATTTATTTTTAGAGAGCGGGAAAGGGAGGGAGAAAGAGAGGGAGAGAAACATTGATGTGAGAGAGAAACATTGGCTGGTTGCCTGTCATATGTGCCCCAGCTGGGTACCAAACCTGCAATCCAGGCACGTTCCCAGACTGGAAAGCAAACTGGCAACCCATTGCTTTGCAGAACGATGTCCAACCAACTGAGCCACACTGGTTAGGGCAAATCTCCCCTTATTTTTAATTAATATTTATGTTGGCAGTAGTGGAGTGGTAAAATATTTCCACCACTGGAGTAAACATGAAAAATGTTTAGTAAAGATAAGCTAGCATTTCCCTTTACCCATGAACGTGGCCAAAATAGTTGTATAGTTAGTGGCACTTCAAAAGTAAGGCAGCCATTTAGGCAACTAACTCTTCTCGACAAGTGAATCCTTTATCAAAGAAAGTAGATATACAAAAACAAATAAATAATGTACCTTTCCTAAGACAATGCATACACTGGGATATTGAGCTTTGTTTTGACATACACACAGTAGACTCATTTTCATGTTTCAATATTAACATTCCTTCAGATGGTGAGAATAAAAGGGGAATCAGTCAAGGGGACAGTTAGCTCTTTTATTGTTTAAATAGGAAAAGCTCAGGTGATATAAAGTGAGTATAGTTTTGTAAAAGGAGGGAAAGGCAAAGTTGATGGAAACAACATGCTGGAAAGAGCTGCGACCCCTTTGCTGAGGCCCACACCTAGAAGAGACAAAGAAGCAGCTTCTCATTCATGAGGCCATTTGCAAGACCAATCTATGCTGGTTGGTGAATTTA